AGATGCTGAGGTGGAGCAGAGAGGATCATGGGACCCAGAACGGTAGCCGGTGTGGAGGCTGGAGTCTAGAGTCTCTGGGGAGAGCCCTGGTCAGCCATGGTCAGTCTAGAGAAAGGAGTAGAAGGAGGTGTAAAACAGTAAGGGCTTTGATGATTGTATCATAGTTATGTCTGTTGTTGATATTAGAGGGCTGGGTGAAGAGTATTTGTATTATTCAGAGTTCTTGAAAGGAACACAGCTAATGGGATGAATATATAAAGATGGATACTTTTTCTTTTCTTTTTGTTTTTTTGAGACAAAGTTTCTCAGTTGTAGCCTTGGCTGTCTGGAACTCACTCTGTAGACCTGACTGGCCTTGAACTCACCAGGATCCTCCTGTCTCTGCCTCCCCAGGGCTGGGATTAAAGGCATGAGCTACTACCACCTACTGGATATTTTTCTTAACCCATAAACACTTCAACTAAAGCAATATTGTTCTACCTGTTATGTAGCTATTTCCTAAGGTTGGAACATTGTCCGGCAGGGAGACCTGTTGAGATCAGAAAGTAAACAATTCAGGGCTGGAGAGATGGCTCAGAGGTTAAGAGCACTGACTGCTCTTCCAGAGGTCCTGAGTTCAAGTCCCAGCACTGTGGTTGCCCATCTGTAATGAGATCTGGTGCTCTCTTCTGGCCTGCAGGCATACATGGAGGCTGGACACTGTGTATACAATAAAACACTGTGTGTATAATAAATAATAAAGAAAAAGTCATTAGAAAGTAAACAATTCAAAAGTCTCTGAAACTTACCAGATGCACAAGGTCCTTGCTTCCCAAGGTTATATTAGCAGTTAGGACTGCTGAGGAGAGGGAGACTGTGACCGGTTGAGCTTCTTGCACATCATACAGAGGGCTCTAGAGGTGCAGCTTTAATGACTATCATCCATGCTGGGTTGGACTTTCAGTGATGCCGCAGCCTCTGAATTACCTATGTTCTTGTAAGCAACCTCAGTAAACTTACTGGTTTCCAGGGTGGATTTCAGTGCTGGTGTTACCCCGGTCTGTTGTTATTTTCCTCTCTGAGGTGAGACGATGTCTGTTCACTTCATTCTGAGCATAAATGACACCTAACAGAGGCAGACAGAACGACAACAAAAAAAGGGTTGGGAAGGAGCGGTCATATGGCTCCTACAGTAGGATCTGAGACTTGCAACTGAAGTTAATCTGAGTGAGGGAGGCCACAAGGGAAATCCGTGAAGTATGGGGGAGAGCACCTCCTTGCAATGGCAGTCACATGATCCTTGGGATGGGTGACAGGACATGTCACTAAGTCTGAGACATCTGAGAACAAGGCACAGGTATGGCAGAATCCCAGGGTGCCCATCTTCCTTTACTTGATATGGGGTGGCATGCTGCTACCTTCATGAGTGGCATCTACCTCTCGAATGCAGGGAGGCCCCGCCAACATGTGCTATACATTAAAGAATGTGTTAAAGTCTCCAAAACACACACACAGGAGACAGGCTGTAAGCAGGTTGAGGTATCAGGTGTACAAGCCCTGCTTTGGGCAGGCGGGCATGCAGCTGAGGCTCAGCCGTCTTCCCAGAGAGAGCCTGGTTGTATAGAGGAGAAATCACAGTCAGGGAAAGGACACACAACAGCCTCAATGCTTGCTTCTTTTTTTAATTTATTTAATTATTAAAGATTTCTGTCTCTTCCCCACCACCGCCTCCCATTTCACTCCCCTCCCCCAATTAAGTCCCCCCCCCAGACCGAAAAGCAATTAGGGTTCCCTGTCCTGTGGGAAGTCCAAGGAACCCCCACCTCCATCCAGGTCTAGTAAGTTGAGCATCCAAACTGCCTAGGCTCTCAATGCTTGCTTCTAATGGAAAAGGAAATGAAAGAAAAAAGGAGGATGAGGTAGAAGGGTTGGCTTGACTCTTATGACTTGGGACCATAAAGGCAAAGAGAACGTAAATCAGATTAATTTTAAGAGCTGGAAGCAAGGAGGAGTCGGACAGCAAGGAAAAAGGAAGCAAGCTAAAAGTTGTAGAAGATACAGGAAAAGGGAAGCACTTTCCCATTAGTAGAGAGAAAAGGAAAATCCACAATCCAATACACACACGGAGATCCTAAACATTGCCTGATGCAAGAGCCAGGGAGTGCTCTGTCTCAACATAGCTTAAGTTGAGAAAGTCTTTAAACAATAATGAAAGATACTGTCACAGCCTGGCTCAGAAGGCTGTGGGCCATGGGAGCGGATGAGGTCACTCTGAGTGCTGGGCAGTACAGGAACAGCAGCGTAACCACTCAACCCTCTTTGAGATGAAGACTACAACACTAAAGCAATAGGAAGAAAATTAATCTTTGATGGATTGACCCGTAAGAGCCATTAGGGATCCTTGGTTATCACCTGCTGAGGTCCCTGTGAATATCAGGGGTGGGAAGACAATAAAGGAAGGAAGGACAGTTGGTACTGAGAGCCTTGGATCTGAGAGAGGAGGTGCTTGATACTCAGTTTACAGGAGAATTGAAACAGAGCCTAATTCAGCAGGGACCTCAGGAATGGTTTATTTAAGGCTTTGGTGACTTTGCTGACCCTGGTGGTATGCTATTGTCTTTACGAGCTCAGAGAAACTCCGATAGAGCTGAATGGCTTCGATCTAAAAAGTATGCAGGGTTCATAAAGTGTAAAGACAATCGAAGGGCCACAATAAAAATGAAACGGAGAGGCTGGCCTGTCCAAGTGTTCCGAGGCAAACGTGGGAGGTCTGAATAGAGCTGGATTATCTCGAGAAGAAATTCAGCAGAAAGCCAAGTGCTGTGCTACTGACTTCCCGGAAGCTTTTAAACCCTGAGCAACAGTTTATATAAGGAAAGAGTAAACCAGTTCTAGGGATGGGCAATTATCTCCCCCAGAGACTGTGGTGTAAAATATATGGGGGTGGGGAGAGACTGTTCGCCCTCGCCGGGGCCCTTTCGGCAGCCAGGTGTGGCTGATGGAAAGGCTGCCAGAACAAAGGAGCCAGCTCCAGCGGTAGGTGTGGAAGGCCCAGGCCAGCCCTTGGGCCTGAGCCGGATCAAACAGTACAAGCTGGCCCTGCTGACACGGTTAGAGCAAAGGGGCGCACAGCAGTCCTGTGGCAAGGGCAGCTCGCGGGATGAGGAGGGCAAGCAGCTCAAGGAAAATGTCAGTAGATTATAGCGTAGACAGAGCGGAGCCTGGCAACATGCCCCCATACCCAACACTGGTCTTTTGGTGAAAGAATTGGCAAAAGTGGTGTGAATGTTTCATGCTTTTGTTGGGTCTCTCTAGTGTTTGCTTTTTGGTATCCTCTTAGTTGAAGACCAATTGGTACTTACTTGGAATGGAAGATTGTGCCCTTCAGAGATTCTGCCCACTCTCTGTAAAAAAAAAAAACAAAAAAAAAAAACCTTATTACATAACAGTAACCTTTGAATGTCTTACGGATTTATATAAATTTTTTAAAAGGCAGTTTAAAAATCCAGTACAATTTTGAAAAAGGTTATCCCACATGTTTGGGGGGAGAGACACTCTCGAAAGCCTTAAGTCTGTCAAATAAAAAAAAAAATCCCAATGCCAGAGATAGGCTGCCTCCCTATGAGAGGTTGGCTGGAGAGGCCCCAGAAGCCCGATAAGGGGCTGTTGTCAATGCTTTGGTTACATGCTAGAACTAGAGAATAAAACCTTCTTGCTCCAGTTGTTGTAATACATTGGTTACAAGACACAGAAACCAGGGTGGGACTGAACTGAGGCTCTCTCCCTGCTGCTGGCTTTCCTCATGCTGAAGCTACTTCGCAGGGTGTGGGTGGAGAATTTCCAGCACTCCTGCTTGGCTGTGGCCCATGCCAACCAAGACGTGACTCTATCTGCAGTAATGACGTAGACGGTTTTCGATTCAACCAGCAGCTTTCTGTTTGAATTTAAAGTCCGCTCCATAGACTGGGAGCTCAGTTCTAGTACTATAAGCCAGGGGGACCAACCTAGGTCTGGGGAAGTCATAGCCCCCAGGAGGGAAACAATTACCATGCTTTATTAGATGGGCATCATGTGCCTGCCTGTCAAACTGCCTCCTAAGAATTTGCCCCTCTGTCCATCGATCACTGTTGTCGGCTGGTTGTGGAAGGAAACTTCCTTTACAAGTGATGGTGTACCCTAGAGAGGCACGATTGCTTCAGAAATACTTTGGAGTAAATCTATGAAGGAAGCGAAAGACCTCCACACTGAACCCTTTACAACACCCAAGATACTGTAGAAGACACTAGAAGTTGGAAAGGCCTCTCATACTCATAGTTTGGGAGAATTAATGTTGTGGAAATGGCCAACTTACTGAAATGATCTATACACCCAGTACAATCGTCATCAAAATTCCAGTAAGATTTCATGTAGAAATTAAAAAAAAACCCTAAAATTCATATGGAAGCATGAACCATCCCGGGTAGCAAAAGCAATGCTGAGCAAAAGGAATGATGCTGGAGTTAGTGAACAGATACGAAGCCAGACACATAGATCAACTGACTAGAAGGCCTAATACAAGCCACACAGCTACAGCCACCTGAGTTTTGACAAAGACAACAACCACCACAACCATTTGAGAAGACAGCCTCTCCAACAGGGAAATATGGACGCTGAGTATCTACACCTGGCAGTATGCAGCTGAGACCTCCATCTACACAAAAGGCAACTCCAAGTGGATTGAAGACCTCAAGGTTAAGACATGTAGTGGTCAGAGGAAAATACACAGATTGAAGTAGAGACAGCGCGGAAGCAGGTGACCTCCCTGACCACTGCTTCTTTTTCAGACAGGGCAGCACTTGGTCTGTAACTAGGTCTCACAACCTGATCTGCTACACACAGCCCTCCTCCCTCAGCTTCCCAAGTGCCGAGATTAAAGATACACGTAACCATGCCTGGCACTCTTTCATATACATGTTCTGGAGTTTTACAAAAGCTCCAAAGGGGTGGAGGTGAGGACTGTTCGTGCTGCTGTGCTTTGGGGTGCGGTTTTTGGGGCCTGCTGGGAACAGGACTTCTAAAGGACAGTATGTCTGGAAGGCTGTGGTGCAAGGCCACTTTTGCTGGCTATAAGCGAGGTCTCCGGAACCAGAGAGAGCACACGGCTCTCCTTAAAATTGAAGGCGTTTATGCCCGAGATGAAACTGAATTCTACTTGGGCAAGAGATGCGCTTATGTGTATAAAGCAAAGAACAAAACAGTGACACCTGGAGGCAAACCAAACAAAACCAGAGTGATCTGGGGGAAAGTAACTCGGGCCCATGGAAACAGTGGCATGGTCCGGGTCAAATTCCGAAGCAACCTTCCTGCAAAATCCATTGGACACAGAATCCGTGTGATGCTGTACCCATCTCGGATTTAAACCAATGAAAAGTAAATAAATAAAAGTGGATTTGTGCTCTTGTAATAAAAAAAATAAAAATAATAATAATAATAAAAAAAAAAAAGCTCCAAAGGACCAGGAGGAAAATCTTACACAGTCACTGACATGGTTCTGTTTTTTTTTTTTTTTTTTTTTTTTTTTGTGCTTTCTGCTCCTTTGTGTAGTTCTGGATTTCTACGTAAGTATGGTTTTCCTTTACCTGAAGGGCTTCTGTTACCACTTAAAAATATTAATTAGCCAGGCAGTGGTGGTACATGCCTTTAATCCCAGCACTTGGGAGGCAGAGGCAGGTGGATCTCTGTGAGTTCGAGGCCAACCTGGTCTATAAGAGCTGATTCCAGAACAGGCTCCAAAAGCTACAGAGAAACCCTGTCTCAAAAAACATATATATGTATGTATACACACACACATGTGTGAGTATATATATATATATATATATATATACATACACACACATATATTTAATGGGTATGGGTGTTTTGCCTATATGTACATGAGTGCCTGGTGCCCACAGAGTCCAGGATAGGACACCAGATCTCCTGAGACTGGAGCTACGGATGATTGTAAGCTGCCATGTGGGTGCTGGGAACCGAACCCAGGCCCTCTATAAGAGCAGCCAGTGCTCTTCACCACTGAACGGTCTCCAGCCCTTTGCAAACGTTTCCTAGGCCCCCGTGGGTTTGACGGTCACTGCTTTCTTCAGCGCTTGAACATCTTCTCTTTGACTGTAAAAACATCCTCACCATGTAAAAGATTTCCACACTGGCGGTTGTTTGACGGGTCCGTTCCATCATCTTCTCCACCATGTTATTTCCGACATGATGTCTATGCTATTGAAGCTCGCAGGGCCAGGTGCCCTTTTTCTTTGGCTGCCTTTAAGGTATTTGCTAGTTTTGACAAAATGGGCTTGACAAAAATTTTCTTTAGAAAATTTTTTATTGTTTCTTTGAATATTAGCGCTCATCTCCTCCTCGCCTCATGACTTGGGTTGTGTACACAGCAGACTGCCTGTGCCTTGTCTACAAATCTGTGGTGCACGTGGCACCCACTACTTTTTATAAACGCCTCTGTATAGTTTTTAGCTTCAGAAGTCCTTTTTTCCCCTGTTTTTCATTTTTAGCTCAGATAGCTGCCTAACTCTTTGACTATATGGATTATAGTCATTCTAGCTGTTTTAATGCCCTCATTTACTAACTCTGGCATCTGTCAGTTTTCAGTTCCAATTCGTGGCTTATACTCCTTCTTGCGGTTTATTCTTACTCTTTGTATTTCTTGATAGTCTTTGGTTGGATAGCAGATGGGACACATCTTGTTACTGTTGGAAATGTCTGTGTTCCTGTTAATCCCTGCTCTGGAATGAAGTCAAGTTATTTGGAAACAGTTTGATCTTGTTGAGTCCCGCTTCTGTGATTTGTTGGGGGCAGTGTTTTGTCTCTGGGGAATGATTTCCTATAACTCAAGAAAGACCCTCGGGGTGCTCCGTTTGATGCGCCATGAAGTTTTAGCCTCTACTGTCTGACTGGTGGCACCAAGTCCTGTATCTATCCCTGTGAAAATGTCAGAGAGCAATTCCTTCAGCTTTCTCAGACCCAGCGCTCTCCCTGTCTGCACCAGCTCATCTGGCCTGCTTGCTGTGCTGGGAAGCCTTCTGTTGTCTGTTCTCTAATGTGGGGATCCTCGCTGTCTGGGTCTGGCTCCTTGACTTCTGGTATCTGCTGGGATCTGCTTCAGCTCCCCCTGTCTGGGCCGTGGCCTGGAATCTCTCTCAATATTGTTGGGGTAGCCACAGATTTCATCTTGTTTATTTCACGCTTCTCAGAGACCACTGCCCTCTGTAGCCTGATGGTCAGTGTCTTAGAAACTGCTGTTTTATGCCTCTTAACAGCTTCTTTGGTGTTTTTAATAAGTAGATACGCAAACAAAAAGATCCGCTGATTCCTGTTTCTAAGGGTTAATGAAGCCATCTTAGAGTAAGAACAAACTACGCTCATTCTTGTTCACGATTAAACCCCTGTTTCTCAAGGATTAGGCGATGCTCTTGAAACCCTACCGTTGCTTCAAAAGGTAGTTATGGCTACCTTGTTATGACCACCTTGCTATGTTCTGCTTCTATAACCCCATCCATTTTGCCCACCAAATCCCCTATTTGGAAAACCCTTTCCCCTGAGCTATAAAAACCTTATCTTCCCCGTGTCCAATGCTGACTTCTTCAACCCCACCTTAGGGAGAGTCAGCCCATGCACAGATATAAAAAAGCTTGCTTCGATTAATTGACTGTTTTTTATTAATTTGGCCATGATGATTTGGGTTAGTGGTCTTTCTCCTTGAATATTTGGGATTAATGCATTATGTCCTAGCCTTCGTTCCTGGGTCAGGGTAGCATTTTCTACATAATTAAACAAAGGATTAGGAAATAATCCAGTGAAGAAAGAATTTTCGGCATTATTGTAGAGATGTAAAATCAGATGAGGTAAAGTTTAGCTATCAGTACTCAGCAGAGTGCAGATTCGAAAACAGACCCATTGACCCAGTCTTTGTAGTAGAATGTAGTTATAATGAATGCCACTTTAAATAAGGGAAATCACTTGCTAGACATTTAACCCTGTCTCTAATTAGCAGGAATTTAGGGCTGAGTCTCAAATTCACTTTTTATTACCTTTGTAGTCTTGGATGAGGGCCCTGTCTCCCCAGTCTACCCCCAATTCTCCTCCTTTTCACCTTTGTTCTCTGGGGACTTACTTGTTCACACTATAATGGGGGAGTGGTAACACCTCCATCACAGAGGCCCTTCCTGGGCAGAAGACTGTGGTGCTTGCAGAGGGGGCTCCAGGCAGTATTTGGTAATATAAACAGGGGCCTCTCTCCCAGGTCTACTGATTCCAGACTACATGGAACATGTGGGCAGAGGAGCAGGTAAGAATAGGACCTGTGGGGATTGTGGGAGCTGGGGGTGGTGTTGAAGGTTTCAGGGAAATAAGAACAGGGCTCGTGTATAATTCTGGCTCTTCCGAGATGCGGGAACTTGAACTTTGGGTGTAGATCGAGTTTTCTAAGATAGGTTAAAAACCTCAGTTTGCCTTGTGTATTCTCTCATTTCATTTTTTAAAATGTTGGTATATAATTAAAACAGAAACTGCGTGGACTAACAATGCAGTTCTTCACTGCAGGTGAAGGTGTTCTGGGCGACAGAGCTCCCTTGGGGCAAGGCTGGCAGGAGACAAAACTGGCTCTTGCTGGGACTGCAGTACAATGGAAGGAAGAAGCCGCACACACAGAAGGAGACTTTGTAATAGGCCTGTGTGTTGTGGGATTGGACCTTCATTATCCTTGACCTCCTTAGGTTTACATCTGCAGAACACTTCTCTTTCTCTTCCTTCCTTCTTCCTTCCCTCCCTCCCTCTTTCCTTCTCTCTTTCTCTTAATTTCTTGCTAAAATTCTGAAATTGAATTATTCTTCTAATTATTCCACTAATGAGCAATAATCCCATTTTCCTTGCAGAGCTTTTAATACTCAGACAGGAAGAGTCTGAGAGTCCAGCAAGCTGGGGTGAGGGTGGGCAAGCTTGGGACCCAGGTCTCCAGCATCTGTTTCCCATATGGCCACACGGGTCAGGCAGGGAAGGGGAAATGGATCTGGAGGATACTTGAGCACCGAAGGTTCATGTTAGTCTTGGGGGATCCTGCAGTCAACACTGGCTGAACTGATCAGCCCTACTTCAGAGCAGATGTGAGGCCCAGAGGGATGAGCAAAGGCAGCATCTGGGAGCCCAGCAAAGGCACCAAGAAGTCCTCGGCACTTTAAAGATGAACACATTAGGCTTGCTCTCCACTGCATTTTGAAGAGTGCCCTGAACTCTCAGCAGATTCTCAAAGGGTCAATGATTCCAACTTGGCAAGGCACTACTGATATAAGCAGAGTCCTTTCTGGTTCCAAAGCCCCTGTCTTGAAGACCCCTACACTGCCTCCCAGATGAGAGGAAGAGTCAATCTCATACAAGGTTTTCATAGGGGTCATGGCTCTATTACTAACTATATTATTTCCTCATTTATAAAGTGGGATTCATTTATTTGACAAGTGCTCTTTGGATTCTTGGCATATGATCCAGCCATTGCTCAAAGTGCTGAAGATACTGCAATGATGTAAACCAGGTCCACACTGTCATTAGTTTTTATTTTTGCAAAGACACAAAGACAGAAAATGGATGATAGACTATGCAGGGGGCTGACAGATGCTCTGGGAAGATGATAGAGTATGCAGGGGGCTGATGGATGCTCTGAGAATATGATAGAGTATTCAGGGGGCTGACAGATGCTCTGAGAATATGATAGAGTATGCAGGGGCTGACAGATGCTCTGAGAATATGATAGAGTATGCAGGGGGCTGATGGATGCTCTGAGAATATGATAGAGTATGCAGGGGCTGGCAGATGCTCTGAGAATATGATAGAGTATGCAGGGGCTGGCAGATGCTCTGAGAATATGTTAGAGTATGCAGGGGCTGACAGATGCTCTGAGAATATGATTGAGTGTGCAGGGGGCTGATGGATGCTCTGAGAATATGATAGAGTATGCAGGGGACTGATGGATGCTCTGAGAAGAAGATGATAGAGTATGCAGGGGGCTGACAGATGCTCTGAGAATATGATAGAGTATGCAGGGGCTGACAAATGCTCTGAGAAGATGATAGAGTATGCAGGGAGCTGACAGATGCTCTGAGAATATGATAGAGTATGCAGGGGGCTGATGGATGCTCTGAGAATATGATAGAGTATGCAGGGGGCTGACGGATGCTCTGAGAAGAAGATGATAGAGTATGCAGGGGGCTGATGGATGCTCTGAGAAGATGATAGAGTATGCAGGGGGCTGATGGATGCTCTGAGAATATGACAGAGTATGCAGGGGGCTGATGGATGCTCTGAGAATATGATAGAGTATGCAGGGGGCTGACAGATGCTCTGAGAATATGATAGAGTATGCAGGGGGCTGATGGATGCTCTGAGAAT